CTGGGGCAGCACTGAGGTACAGGCAGCTGCCATTTCAGAGATCAGGCTGCACATTCAAACATCCAGTTCTCTGTTTACCACGCAGGACAAAACCTACCCTTGGGTATGCTGCCACCACGTGCTGGTGGTGCTTCTGTCAGAAGCATGCAGTCCAAAAAAAACTGGCATCATAGATATGTTTCATCAGAGAAAAAATACAGGATTTCTCTTATCAAAACTGTAACTTTAGCCCGGCTGGAGTGGCTCAGTGGTTGAGCATCGACCCATGCACCAAGAGGTCGCTGGTTTGATTCCCGGTCAGGGCACATGCCCAGGTTGTGGGCCCGATCCCCAGTGGGGGGCATGCTGGAAGCAGCTGACCGATGTTTCTTTCTCACATTGATGCTTCTCTCTCTCTCCCTTCCTCTCTCTCTAAAATATCAATAAAAACATATTTTTTAAAAAACTATAACTTTGCCCTGGCCGGTTTGGCTCGGCGGTTGGAGCGTCGACCTGCGGTCCAGAGAGACCTGGGTTCATTTCCCACTATGGGCACGTACCTCGGCTGCAGTTTGTCCCCGGCCCTGGTTAGGTCGTGCAGGTGGCAACCACTCGATGTGTCCCTTTCACATCGATGTTTCTCTCTCTCTCTCTCTCTCACCCCCTCCCTCTCCCCCTCCCACTCTATCTGAACAAAATATGGAAAAATGTCCTCGGATGAGGATTTAAAACAAAAAAAAATCAAATAGGGCCCTGGCCGGTTTGGCTCAGCCGTTATAGCGTTGGCCTGCGGTCCAGAGAGACACAGGTTTGGTTCCTGCTAAGTGCACGTACCTTGGTTGCGGTTTGTCCCCGGCCCTGGTTGGGTCGTGCGGGTGGCAGCCACTCGATGTATCCCTTTCACATCGACGTTTCTCTCTGTCTCTCTCTCTCTCTCTCTCTCTCTCTCTCCCTTCTTCTCTCTCCCTCCCACTCTGAACAAAAAATGGAAAAAATGTCTTCGGGTGAAGATAAAAAAAATAATAAAAGAATCACTGTGTGGTTCAGTGGTTAGAGCATCGGCCCTCAGACTGAGGGGTCTCAGGTTCGATTCCCAGTCAAAGGTGCGTACCTGGGTTGCAGGTTTGATCCTCAACCCTAACCAGGGATTGTGCGGGAGGCAACCAGTCCACGTGTCTCAATTACATCGATGTTTCTCTCTCTCTCCCCCACCCTCCCTTCCACTCTATCTAAAAATCAATGTAAAAATATCCTTAGGTGAAGATTAACAAAAATAAATAAATAAATAAATATGTATATACACAAATAAAATACTTAGGTATATTCCTTGCGAATGCTTAATGATCAGCAATTGTAAGTCAAGCAGGGTCTTTGTCCTGGCTTTTTGTTGGTGGTGGCAGTGGTGGTCCAGAATAAAAAGTTTTCTTTTTCTTTTATGACTGAAAAGTGATATATGAAGTTTATGGCTGGATCCAGAAGGCTCCTTCTCTTACATTTAAAACTATGGTGCCAAATTTTCCTCCCCAAACACTGGGTAAGCATACCTACTTAAAAGACATCTAGAGCCCTGGCCAGTTTGGCTCAGCAGTTAGAGCGTAGGCCTGCAGGCCAGTAAGTCTCAAGTTCGATTCCGGTCAAGGGCACATACCTCAGTTGCAGTTCGTCCCCGGCCCTGGTCAGGTCGTGCGGGAGGCAACCAGTCGATGTGTCCCTCTCACATCGCTGTTTCTCTCTGTCTTTCTTTCTCTCTCTCACTCTCTCTGATGATAAATAGAAAAGTATCCTGGGTTGAGGGAAAAAAAAGACATCTAGAACTCTACCCTTAAATTACGATCCGCTTAGAAACTCCCTCTTCGAAAGCAGGTTTCATAGCTGTCAGGATCTGGGTATTTTAATTTCATGATTCTTTCTCATGAATACATTCAGTTATATATAAGTACAGCTCTATAGATCTTCTTTCCCAGTCTTCTTCCAAAGGTATTCCCTAAAGATTTTATTTCCTTAAGAGCACCCTTTCCTCCTTTCCACCAGGCGAATAGAATACTTGTCTTTAAAAGCCCCTACACACCACCCCACATCCCAGATTTCTAGCTATAGGCAATTATTATTCAAAAGTGAAACACAGTTACTTCCTGGTCTCCTACTATTTCACAGAGCTCCCAGGTTTTTGCAGTTGATATTCACTGTAATCCTACTCTGTGGCCCCTGGGAAGCCACAACAGCAGCTTGGACAGGACAGGGCTTGAATCCTGACATTAAAACAAGGGTTTCACTGCTAGTGGCAACTGTAAAGTAAAGCAATCCAAAAGTGCTTACGGAAATCATGTGAAGTTTCCCTTAAACTTATCCCAGAGGTAACCGTTGAACTGCAGTGGTTTTCAAATTTTTGTGACTGTGACTTTAGTGAGAAGTACACACATCCATGTAAATATCTGAAACAAACACTCCGTCCCTTCATTTCACAGGCAAAGGCAGCACTGCTTTCTGCTCTGTTCACTCCATTTAAGTTTTGCTAGAGCTACGAGGTTGAGACATATGAAACATAACTATTTAGTCAACATGGTCAAATATGGGCAATTTCATGTGGTTTGACTTATTTGTGACACTAAAATAATTTCACAATCTCCTTAATGGACTGCCCATAGCTCGAAAAGCATTGTTCAGTGAGTTGCTGTTATTTTTAACATTAAAACAAGACTGAAGTTCCCCTTTTTCACTTAATATGGCATGGACATCTTTCCATGCAGGCACGTTAGAGCTTCACTCCTAATTCTCAAAGGCTTCATGGAATCCACCACACACATGAACCCCAGCTTCAGTAACTGAGCCCCACTGAAGGCACTTAAATTTTCATTTCATCTCATTTTTATTTATTGACTTGAGAGAAACATCGATTTGTTGTTCCACTTATTTATGCATTCATTGGTTGCTTCTTGTATGAACCCTGACAGGGGAGTGAACACCCAACCTTGGCGTATCAGGAAACCAACTGAGCTACCCAGCCAGGGTTACGTTTAGATTTCTTAGGGACCCAGAAAAGCAGTGCACTTTATTGTCAACCAGACCTGAGTTTAAATTGCTGTCCAAACGCCTTAAACTCTCTGGACTCCACTGTTATATCTACAAAAAAGGAAATAAACCTCTCAGGGTTGACAGGAGGCTAAAGTAGAAAACGCGGAGTGGTTTATAAACAATTACAAAGAAGTCAGCCATTACTTTCAGCTAGTGCCTGACTTCTTTCCCAAGCATGAGACAGAGCCGTCTGTGCTGCCTACTGTATTCACATTTAACCTGTAGTGGGCTGGCGAAACCCCTCAAAATAAGACAATAGGCACACCCTTCTGAGCTTACTATTTGCCTAGTCCCTGGCCTCAGTTTCCTCACTTTTTTCTGTACTTGATCATTAAGGTAAAGAACCAAACTCTTGGGCAGTCACTCATTCAACAACAAATATTTATGGAGTATCTACGATATGCCAATCACTATGCCAAGCACCATGTGAGCCTCATCTTTCTCATTAGCAAATCGAAGAAATGACGGGCATGTTGAGCAAAATAATTCTTTGTGTGGATCTGTCCCCTGGCCTCTAAATAACAAGGCCTACCTGATAATTGGGACAAACCAATTGAGGCAGGACCATAATAAGCTATGAAAATTTGTTGGCAAGTGGAATAGGGAAACAGACAGATTGGCTGAGCAAATTGGCCAAGCAATTTACAGCCAGATACAGGTTACCAGGGCCAAAAGTTTGGGGTGTCTAGCAACACACAAAACTGGTGCCAGACCTCGACCCCAGGGTGGACTTTCCTCCCGTGGCATATCACTGGCCATGTTTAAACCCCCTGACCTTTCCTCCCTAGAGATAACATCTAAGCTTCAGCTGTATTTCAACTTCAGGCCCAGAAAAAGCAGCAAAACCAGGCAGGTGATACCAGGACCAGCTGTGATGACTTAAGCACCCTGCCCTAGCGCCAACCAATCAATGGAGACCTGGACCTGAAAGGATACACCCAGAATATTCTGTTAGGAGATCCTTCCCTAAACTCCCAGCCTTTAGAACTCTCAGGACAAAGGACTCAGCGCATGCTCTCTCTCTGGGAGCTCGCTTGCACCTTTCCCTTCCTCTTCTTACCTCCAGAGGGGCATCTCCTAAACTCTAAGGGGCCTATGAGACCTGCAACCAGGGGAGCAATGGGCAGTGGCAGCTCTTCCCTGGTAATCCCCTGAACCTGTCCCCAAGGGTCCCTTTTCTCTGACTCTCCAGTGAGCTGATGGCAGCCCCGCCTTGGCTCATGTTTTTTCCATAAAATGTCAAGGGAGCCAAAACAGCCCCGCCTAGTCTCTCTCCTGTTGCTTCTTCTATCCTAAGCCCTTTCTTGTTTCACTGACCCCAGCTTTAATAAAATGTACTCTTAAATCCTCAACTCATGTTGTGAAATCTTTCCTGCAGGAAGTCAAGAATCCACACAGTACAGGCCAGAAGGCGGACCCGCTTCTGCCTTTACCGGTGGTAACACAAAGACGCCATCGCACATTTCCAAATGGCCCCTAGGGGGCACTTTCGCCCTTCAAGAAGAACCCCACGCCCACCCTCTAAGATTCCAGGTGCCAGGGAAATGGGGAGGCCGTGTAACTGGCAGAGTCAGGATGACGCCAAAGGCCCAAGATGAGGATCTAGAACACGTTTTTTGGGGAACGGAGCCTTACACCGGCCCCGGGATGGCTGGTCAACAATCTGGGGGTTATTGGTTACTCTCCATGCAGCCAAAACAAAACCCAGGAACTTCAGGTTCCCCTTCCGCCCGGGCCTGGGGTCCTGGGGAAAAAAGAATGGCGGTGCCCTCTAACTCAAGCCCTCAGGATGCGAAGGGTTAAAGCAGGTGGTCGCGCAGAAGCCCCCAACAGCGCCAGAGGGGCCGTAGCAGAGGCTCCGCTAGGCGACCTCGCGGTCACGTGGGAGCGAGGGCGGGACTAAGGGAGGGCTCGGCCAATAGGCTGTGTTGTCGGTGGGCGTGATAGCCAATAGGAGCAGGGAGAGGAGTCCCGGCACTAGGAAGAAACGGCGGCCGGGAGGGGGCTACGGGGACCATGGGCCTTCTGACCATCCTGAAGAAGATGAAGCAGAAAGAGCGGGAGCTGCGACTGCTTATGCTGTATCCTCCCGGAATCCGGAGCCGCCAGGGTAGCGGGGGCCCCGCCGGGCGGGCGGTGCTAGGCGCCCCCTACCGGGTGCGGGGTGCGCGGCCGGGCGGCCCGTCCCAACTGCCCATTGTGCGTCACGCACGAGGGCCCTACCAATCACTTCTGGCAGGAGGCCGGCAGGAGGCCGAACCACCGGCTCGGGGCGGGGAGACTCCGTTCCCAAGGCCAAAGCTGTGGGCCTAAAGTCGCAGCGTCCGGGCCAGGCGTCCCAGTGTAGGGAGGAGGTGGGGCCCGGAGGTGACTCGTACGCCACCACCCTTCGGTCTGGCCCCAGCGTGGGGCCGCTGTGCTCCTCGGCTCTGACCTCCTGCCCCCGTCCGAGGGGCCAGGCTCTGGCCCCGCCCTCGTGGTCGGAATCCCCGGGGCGTGCGGGCCCCGCCCTCACCTCCTTGGAGAGGCGGGTGTAGGCTCCGCGAGTCCTTTGTCGGGTGCGTTGAGTTGTCCGTGTTTTTGCCCCCGCACGGCCATCGATGTCCCCGCGGCTGGCAGTGTGTAGCCCCCGAAGGCCCGGCCGACCGTCCGAGTCCCATTACCAGGCGTCTGCACCCTTGCCCTACTCTGACCTCGCCCAGAGGAGGGGGCTCTGCGATCCAAGAGCTGGGCTGCCCGCACCCTCAACTGCCCTAGCTGGGAGAGAAGACATTTCCCTGCGCAGGCAACTCAAAAATAATATTCACATCGTGTCTGTTTTAAAGAGCCCTTTGAAAGGCCCAGAGAATTCACTCACCCAATACATATTTATTGAGCACCTACTCTGTGCTAGGCACTGTCCTAGGGGCTGGGGTAAAACAACAAAACAAAAACAACCCCTACCTTCATGGACATGCTGTAATGCTGGAGGGAGAAAGATTCACAAAGTAAAGGAGAAAATACATGGTATGAATGGAGAAGAATGCCGTTTAAACCAAGGCGGCCAGGAGGCCATACTGAGAAAGTGACAGTTGAGTGAAGATAGGGAGGTGAGGGATGAACCGAGTAGATGGATATCTGGGGAAACTTTTTTAAGCAAGTGCAAACTCCTCACAATGAGGAACTCAAGTGGGGCCTTCCGGCACTGACCTTGGCAAAAGCAGTTGGAACAAAAGCCTCGTGGGTTTGAGAAAGAGCAAGAGAACAGAAATTGGAGGTGAGAATGGAAATGGTTTTGAGGACAGGTGCTGTCAAGGGAGGGGAATAAAGGAATAAGGGGGAGAGGGGTCAAGAGAGGATATTGTTGCCCTGGCCAGTGTGGCTTGGTTGGTTGGGTTTGTCCCGAGCACAGAAAGATTGCTGGTTCCATTCTTGGTCAGGGCACTTGCCCTGGTTGCAGGCTCCATCCCTGGTAAGGTGTGTTCAGGAGGCAGCCAATTGATGTTTCTCTCTCTTCTCCCTTCCTCTCTCTGTAAAAATCAATAAACTATTCTTTAAAAGGAGAGAGAAAGAAAGAGAGTGGATGTTGTTTGCTTCCTGTAAGGTAGGAGAGATGCCAGAGAGTTTGTCAGCTGAGGGGAATGATCTAGTGGAGAAGGAAACATGGATGATGGAGTTGAGAGTGAGGGGATAATCAGCGGCCAATTAGCAGGGGCTAAGGCTGGGTCTCAGGAGAGGTTCTCTGTCACCCCCCTGTCACTGGCTTGAGTCACTTGCTCAGGTCAGGTGAGCAGAAAGGCTGCTGGGTCCAAGGCCTGGGCCCCCTTCCTGGCTGCAAGACCCTCAAGTGTTAGAAGGAAAGAAGAGGGTGGTTCTCTCCTGCTGGTGAACTCACTTTTGCACACTCACTTAGCAGCAAAGATTTGGAATATTCCAGAAACAAGTGAGGTGGCTGCCTCCAAACACTTGCTCTTGCTGGTCCCTCTGCCTAGAATGTTCTTTCCCCAGTCCTTCAAAAATCTGTCTCCTTGTAGTTTGGGCCTCAGCTCGAGACCCTCAGGGAGGCCTTCCCTGGCGCCCGAGCTAAAGGAAGCTCCTTTGGTGGCCGTCTCCAAAACCTCTTCAGTGTATTTCTTGTGTTTTTTCCTCCATATTTCTGACATTCACCAGGATCCAACTGTGCCTTGTTTCTCTTTTGTTTACACTCTGTAGACAGTCTCCACACTGGAGCGTAAGCTGCACAAAGGCGGACTTTGACTCCAAGGTCCCCCCCAGCACCAGAGAGGGCCTGGCATTTAGTAGGTACTCAGTAAATATTATGGAGTGAATTAAGGAGCTTTGGTCAGGAGGAGATGATAAGTTACTTGCTTCTTTTTTTTTTTTTTTTTTTTTATTAAGCCACGCCTTTATGCCCAGTGCACATGAACAGAATGGTTGCTTTTCCAACAAGAGAACAGGAGGTTTTATTTTTATTTTTAATATGTTTTTATTGATATTTTAGAGAAAGAGGATGGGAGAGAGAGATAGAAACATCCGTGTGAGAGAGAAACTGCCTCCTGCATGCTCCCTCCTGGGGATCGAGCTTGCAACCCAGGCTCGTGCCTGGGACCTCTCGGTCCATGGGACGTCGCTCAATCCACTGAGCCCACATGGGCCAAGGTACTTGTTTCTTGATACCTCCACATTTATTGTGAGCTAATTGTGGTCATGTGCTCAACTGATTTTGATATGTGGTGGTAAGTGATCTGTTCCCTAAGAGAGGGGCACTGTGACTGTGTTACCACCCTGCAGAGTACAGGGGTTTCTCCTTAACCTGGTGTGCCCCAGCGGCCTGGACAATGCTGGCAAAACAACTATCCTCAAGAAGTTCAATGGGGAAGACATCGACACCATCTCCCCAACACTGGGCTTCAACATCAAGACCCTGGAGCACCGGGGGTGAGCAGGGTCCCTGCAGGCGGGCCACCCCAAGAGCAAGGTGGGGAGGGTGGTTAAGGGGCCAGGCTGACTCCAGCCACCCACTCCCTGCCCAGATTCAAGCTGAACATCTGGGATGTTGGCGGCCAGAAGTCCCTGCGGTCCTACTGGCGGAACTACTTTGAGAGCACTGACGGCCTCATCTGGGTGGTGGACAGCGCCGACCGCCATCGCATGCAGGACTGCCAGCGGGAGCTCCAGAGCCTGCTGGTGGAGGAGGTGGGCAGGGGGCCGGGCTGGGCGGGAAGGAGGGGTGAGGGAGCCAGGCGACCACCAGCATCCAGGCCCCAGTGCTTTGTGCACATGTGGGTGTGTGGACACCTTCCTCAGCAGATTCCTTGAGCCTAGACCATGTGCCCAGCACCCTTGGGGAGGCAGAGACAACCTGTACACCTGGTCCAGGGAGGCCCATGGTGCTGCAAGCAGGTCATGCATGGGCTGTGAGCTGGGTCCACCTCCCTCTGATTTCACTGCTTGGCCACCCTGAGCTTCAGCTTCCCCATCTCTAGTCGAGGTTTAGGGAGGATGACTGCAGGCCTGTGTGTGAAGCTTTGGGAGGCAATGGAGCCTGTCTTTGCTGTGTGACTTCGGGCAAGACCCTTAACCTCCCTGAACCTTCACTTCCTCATCCCTAGGGTGAGCATTATAATTGGAGTGATCTTATAATTTATTGTCTAGGCCAAAACACTTTTTTAAAAATAAAATTTTAGATTTACAGAAAAGTTGCAGAGATAGTGAAGAGAGATCCTGTAACCCTTCATCCTGCTCCCTCACTGTTAACATTGTACATGATCACTGTACGTTTGTCAAAACTGAGAAAGTAACACTGGGAAGTAATTCTTTAAAAACTACAGATTTTATCAGGATTTCACCAGTTTTTCCACTAATGTCCTTTTTCTGTTCCAGGATTTGATCTAGGTTACTACACCGCATTTATTTATTTATTTACTTATTTATTTAGGTTAATCCTCACCTGAGGATATTTTTTCCATTGATTTTTAGAGAGAGTGGCAGGGAGGAAGGAAGGGGTAAAGAGTGAGAGAGAGAAACATCGATGTGAGAGAGACACATCAGTTGGGCTCACACCCTGACTGGGCTGGGGATCAAACCTGCAACCCAGGTATGTGCCCTAGATTGGGAATCAAACCCTTTGGTGCACAGGTGGATGCTCTAACCACTTAGCAACACCGGCCAGGGCCCTGCACTGCATTTAGATGAAAACAAGTATACTTTTGAGAGTGAAAGAGGGAGTTGTTAATAATGATGAGGGACAACAGGCATGAACAGGGCTGTCCTGGGCACACAGGGATATAGTCACCTGGTATAACAGTAGCCACCTCATGGGGATGTTGAGCGGGTCCAATGAGATAAAATGCCCAGGCCTGGGCCAGATCCACCCACCCACATGGAGAGACTCCCAGGACTAAGCACATATAAGGAAATAACCGGAATTAGAGGCAGAGAGGCCCGTCAGTGCAATGGGAGAGTTGAAGAGCTCCATGGACGTGGAAGAGGGAAAGGCCATTTCCAGCAGACCCCATGGCCTCTGGGACAGTTCTGTGTGCACATCAATTAACTAGATGGAGCAGTCTAGAACCACAGTGGGCTCAGGGATCATGTCCATCACCCCCTCCCCAAACCCGAGGCATGGAGGAGAAAGGTGCCCACTGGGTGGTTATTGGATAGAACCAGGGCCTTGACGCAACCCAGGACTCCCTCTACCCCATGAGTGCCCGGCCTCAAAGGCTGTGTCAACACTGCCTACCCACTTGGGCCCCTCCCACCACCATGGAGCCGTGCCCTGACATTCCCAGTTGGTCTCTGGCTCTAGATGCTCTGGGAGATTAGATGAGGAGCAGGCTGTTCTCTGAGCCCACATACCCCTCTGTTTCTCTTCCCCCAGCGCCTGGCTGGAGCCACCCTCCTCATCTTTGCTAACAAGCAGGACCTGCCTGGAGCACTGTCCTCGAATGCCATTCGTGAGGTGAGTTCAGGCCTTGCGTGCTCACAGAGGAAAAGAGGCACGTTTCTGTATGTTAATTTATTTTAAAAGCATTTATGAGCCCCCGCTGTGTGGCAGGACCTATTGGGGCACTGGAGATTCCGTGATCAGTAAAAGTAGTGGTCTCACGCCTAGAGGAAGGCAGACCTGCAAATAGATCATTCCACAGGAAACCAGTGGCCAAGTAGTGATTGCTTTCTGTGTGCTAGGCTCTTTGCATGGTTCACTCGTTCAGTTCCCACAACAACCTCATGAAGTAGGAACTATTATCATTCTACACACGACGAAGCAAGCTTAGAGAGGTTAGGAAACTTGCCCAAGGTCACACAGCCAATAAGTAGACAAGCCAGGATTTAAACGCAGACCTATCTGACCCCAGAATCTTAACCATTATTCTAGAGCTTGAGCACCAGAATGAGAAAAAGTGGGATTAGAATCTTGGTTCTGCCACTTAATAGCTGTGTGACCTTAGCAGGTTGCTTGACCTCTCGGCTTTGGTTTCCTCCTCAGAAAAATGGCCAGCACAGTCCCTGCTAGTGTGGCCTTGGGAGGAATGGATGAGAGGACCTTGTCCGGCCTATAGCACAGTGCCTGGGTCCTGACAGACACTTGGAAGCCTGCGTTGCTATTTTCGTCCTGAGGGGTAGTGCTGGTGTGACAGTGTACAGAGCTGGTGCCTGGGAGGGCTGACAGCTTCACCCGGAACCAGGGGAAGCTTCCCAGGGCAGGACCTTCAGGAGGCGTGGATTTCCCCGAGGCCAGGAGAGTCAAGGAGCTGTGGGCAAGCTGGGTCCCCCAGCCCCAGCAGCACTGTCCTCCCTTTCAGGCCCTAGAGCTGGACTCTATCCGCAGCCACCACTGGTGCATCCAGGGCTGCAGCGCTGTCACCGGGGATAACCTGCTGCTCGGCATCGACTGGCTCCTGGATGACATTTCCAGCCGCATCTTCACAGCTGACTGAGCCGCTCCAGACCCCCACCTTGCAGTCTGGGCCCCCCTCCCGCCAGACCCTCACCAAGCACCACCCATGGGGGGATGGGAACCAGCCAGCCAAACTAACACTCCACGTCCCCGTCCATAACCTGCTGCTGCTGCCCACTGCTGCTCCATGGCCAGCCTGGCTCCCATGGTGGGTGGGCTGCTGCCCTGGCTGTCACCTGGCTCCTGACCCAGCCCACCTGCAGCTGCCATACCAAGAGGTGAGGGCTGGGGCTGGGAGGGGCCTGCCTCTGCTGCTATTGAGGCTGTGGGCCTCATCCTTTGCTCAGCTGTGAGAATAAACCATTCCTTGTCCTGATTCCTGGCTGAGTCATTTGCTGATTCAACAGCTTTAGAGACCACCTGGAGTCCACAGTCCAGCAGGGGACAGAAAGAGACAGATTGTTTCAGTCAGAGAGTTAACAGATGCTGCTGTGTCTTAGGAATACGTTAAGAGTATAGAAGCAGCCTTGGCCGGTTTGGCTCAGCGGTTAGAGTGTCGGCCTGCGGTCCAGAGAGACCTGGGTTCAGTTCCCACTAAGGGCATGTACCTCGGTTGCAGTTTGTCCCCTGCCCTGGTTGGGTCGTGTGGGTGGCGACCACTTGATGTGTCCCTTTCATGTCAATGTTTCTCTCTCTCTCTCTCCCTCCCACCTGAACAAAATATCAAAAAATGTCCTCGGGTGAGGATAAAAAAAAGAGTATAGGAGCATAGGACCAGGCTGCAATTAATGTCATTTGGAAGAGTCCAGGCAGGCTTCCCAGAGGAGGTGACATTAAAGCTGAGAGTAAAGGTTAAGTTTTCTGGGTAGAGGAAAGAGAAGAACAGTTTACCAAAGCAACTGCTACCCTCAGAAGCATGAATTAGAAAAAGGGATACACCCCTGCATCAGGACTCAGCTTCCTGAATGGAACATGAGCTGAATTTCAGCTCCCAACTTCCTGCAGCAGCCAGGAACCCACATGCAGTGGACAGCCTGCACAGCTCAACAAGGCAGCCTTGGTTAGAGCAGAGGGAATCACATGACAGGAATGAAGAGCAAGAGCTCTTGGGAAATAGGAAGGGGTGATGACATGGGCAGGGCTAGCTAACCAAGAGCAGAGCTGGGAAGGGGCCTTTCCTGAAGGCTATAGGGCACTCTCCGAAGCAGGGGCCAATCTGGGAAAGGATGGGAACAAGGGCAGCCCCAGGATGGCAAGACAGATGGATATTTTCAGAGCCCTTTTCTGTGGCCTCAACAGTGGCTGCTTACTCTGCAGGGTTCTGTTCAAAGCACTTGCTACTTACTGTCACATTTAAAAATGACCCCCAAGCAGTGTAGACTTAGACCCATTTATATGGAAACTGAGCCTCCAGGAGTTTACAAGGCTTGCTCAGAGCCACCCAGCTAGGAACTAGGGGAGCAGAGATTTGGACCCAGCACACTTAGCCACTATGCCCTACTAACTGTTTTCAGTTTTTATCTGCTCGAAATTCTAACGCCATGGAGGGGGGTTTAATTTGTCTAATGAGGGAAAGGTGGTTTTCCCAAGTTAAAGTCGAGGAAGAGATACCGGATTTACTCCTAAACTAGCATTAAGATCCCCTCCTGGAGGGGTAGAGACCTGTGCAAAATTGGGGCCCCGTTAGGGTGAAAGAAGGGAAGTGAGTGTTGGGTGGGCAACCTTTGAACATCAACTGTCCTTCAGTGTGGACAATTAGAGCCACCTGCTCGGTCCTCTGCAGGATAGACGCCATGGACCCCACTCCCAAATCTTGCACTGAGTGAACAAACCCAGGCTCCAGGGCCGGTCACTGGGTGATGCTGAGCAAATTGCCAAATCTATCTGTGCCTCAGTTTCCCCACCTCTCAGAAGATAATGTCACCTACTCCTAGAGTTGTGATGAGGACCAAATGAGTGGGTGTCTTGTGTGTCTTAAGCACTGTGTAATGCTAGCTACAATTATATTTATGTGAACCAGTAGGAGCTCAAGCAGATCCAACCAATGTGAACTCAGCCATCCACTGATCTGGGTGAGTCACCCCAGTGTTCAAGTCCTCCCGGGGCCCTTCATAAGTAGAATCCTTAAAGTGTGAATTATGCATGGTTAGAAACCAAAAAATAAGGCGATTATACTCATCACAAAGGCCTATGGTTAGGTAGTTTGAGCTGAGGCAGAAAGTCTGCATCACAGGGTCAAGCAGTGCAGGCTCCCTGCAGCTGCACACTGGCAGCTTTTCCCTCTCCCCACCTTCTTTGAAGACTCTTCTATTTGGTTCTCCTAGTAACAGAACTGGTGGAGTTTGGTGATCTGGAGAAGGCCAGTGGCTAATCCAGATAAGAAGGGGTTTGGAATGGGCAGGAAGAAAGAAAGGGGTGAACTGGGAGCTACAGGGTCAGGAAGGGGAGGTAATGATGGGTGAGGAGACTTGGAGCCACAGCCTGCCCAGGAAGATTTGGAGGGCAGCAGCAGCCACGTCTAAAGAGGTCTCTAGAGGAACCCTGGTGTGTGTAGTGCAAGGGGACACCACTCTATCCCAGCCAACTCCCAAACACCTCCTGGATGAACTACCTCATTCCTGAACTTCCAATAGCCCAATTTGGAATTTTGCTTTGTGTTTCTTTCTGGAGACAGTGCCCACACATCTGAGCTTTAGTAACAAGAGTGGCCATGAGTGGTTAAGTGCTTCACCCATAGTCAGAGTCCTTGATGGCCTGCCCCAGAAGCAGATTACAACCGCCTTCAGCTGAAAGGACTTTTTTATTTTTTTAATCCTCACCAGAGGATATTTTTCTATTTATCTTCAGATAGAGTAGGAGGGAGGGAGAGAGAGAGAAACACTGACTTAAGAGGGAAACATTGACTGGTTGCCTTCTGCATGGGCCCTGTCCAGGACCGGAAATAAACTGCAACTGAGGTACATGCCCTTGACCAGAATGGAACCTGCAACTCTTTGGTCTGCGGGCTGATGCTTTGACCACTGAGCAAACCAGGGTGAGTTTCTTGAAAGGATAATGGGGACTCACAGCATCCCGATGGAGATGGGATGCCCAGGCTTAGAAAACAGGAGTGCTTCAGAGCCTTGGCAGCCAACCCAGAGCCAGCACTGTACTCCAAGAACAAGTTTGTCCCCTTGCCAGGTACTGTGCCCTCTGTCCCTCAGTCAAGATTCAAGGTCTCAGGAGTCTCTCACCCCTACCCGGGACCTGGTGCAAGGAAAGCAGGTGGCACCTTTGGATTCTGGGGTAGGAGGCTGGAGGGCTACACATACTGGAGAATTACCTCCAAACGAAGATCTGGTGCTATGATACTAACAGGAAGGAAAGAAAGAAGCATCCACTGCAGTAGTGTCCATTATCAATATCCTCATTCTAGGGATGAGAAACAAAGGCTCCAGTAATTCCAAGAAGGTCACTTGGCTAGTAAGTTGACTTCAGAACCCGTGACACCAACGTGCTTCTCCGAGTTCTTTTTGCTCCCCCCATCATCCCAGAAAACATGAATTAGGGAATCCTATGGAGGGAAACAGGAACATAATTTAGCTGTTTGCCACATACTGGACACAATAAAAATTGGATGAATGGATGAAAGGGAACTGGGAAGCAGAGGAGTCGTTTGGAGATGTAAGATGCCCTGGGCTTGATCACTGGGCAGACAGGAGTGATCCAACCTCCCCAATCCTTATCCTCAAATCACCTAATTTACGCTTTACCAAGACTGAGATCTTTTTAGATGCTCCCTTGGCTGCGCGCCAGGCGAGAATTGCCCTGTCACTTGTGACTGGCTCCCTGGGCCGAAGGATGAAAGGCGCAGGCCCGCGCGAGGCGGCGGCTGGCAGCGGCTGACCCGGGCGCGGGGACGGGGACGGGGGGGGGGGGGGCGGGGGCGGCGGTCAGCTCTGCCCCAGCTGGGTTGCCATGTCCCGCAAGGCGAAGGACGACTTCTTGCGGCGCTACACAGTCTCCGACCCCCGGACCCACCCCAAAGGCTACACCGAGTATAAAGTGACCGCGCAGGTGAGGTGGGACCCAGCGGAGACCTTACCCTTTTAACAAGCGAGGGGACGTGTTTTACCTTAAGGCAAGTAGCTGCTGGAAGCTCCCTTTTTGGAGGACAAAATTAGATTTCCCCTTTAAGGGGAGGTCTAGGTGCGGGTGTTCGTTCCCCGCTTTAGCTACCAGAGGACGGAGCCATGGGAGGGCGCTGTCTTAAAAGGGCGTGGACTGCAGTTCCAGGACCCGAGAGTTGGGGTGCCCACGCCCTAAGTGTGATGTCTGGGCATCAGGCTGTGAATTTCTTTAAATTAACTTGAAATCTCTGGCTCAACCCGAATATTAGTTAGTTCTCCAATCTCTCGAAGTAAATTTTTGTTTTGGGTTGGTTTGATATTTACATAAAAGCCTTTTAAAGATTTTATTTTTAATTTAAAAAAACAAACTTGTCTATGACTTTAAAAATTCATACAGTTCAAAAGAACCTAAGGAGTACGTCTCTATCTTCACAGTCATCAGAAAGTCAATAAAGACTAAAGGATGATACATGAAGTAGTAACAACATTATAGGCACATTAATATAGAGACCATGAAAATGATTAAAAATAGAAACAGTATAATAGAATATCAATAGAATATCTGTAGAATGAAATACAAAGAACTGGTTGGGGAAGACTTCACTGTAAACTTTCTTGTACCTTTAGAATTTTTATTTAGGCAGCTAATAAACTGGTGCATAGTAACTATTACAGTGGAGCAAAAATATAAGACACTTCCATAAGTACAGATACTAGATGTTTAAAATAAACTTTCTTGCCCTGGCCAGTTTGGCTCAGCGGTTAGAGCATCAGCCTGCCGCCCAGAGAGACCTGGGTTCGGTTCCTGCTAAGGGCGCATGCCTCTGGTTGCAGTTGGTTCCCGACCCTGGTTGGTCGTGCGGGTGGCAGCCACTTGATGTGTCCCTTTCACATCGATGTTTCTCTCCTCCCCCCGCCCCCCCCCCCCCGCACTCTATCTGAACAATAAAATGGAAAAATGTCCTCGGGTGAGGATTAAAAAAATAAATAAAATAAACTTTCTCCAAGTCTTCTATAATATCTATCCCTTGTCTAAAAAATACAAAAGATAGTTCCTGCGGTAGGGGGTGGGAAGGGTGTATGTCGCAAGGGACTGTAACCTTTTTCTATAAGTCTTCTGTTGGCTTTTTATTTATTTATTTTTCTTTATTGATTTTAGAGAGAAAGGAAGGGAGAAAGAGAGCTAGAAACATCGATGAGAGAGAATATTGATTGGCCGCCTCCTGCATGCCCTGCACTGGGGATCAGGCCCACAACCTGAGCATGTGCCCTGACAAGGAATCGAACCAGCGACCTCTTGGTGCATGGGTCGATGCTCAACCAGTGAGTCACATTGGCCAGGTTTCTGTTGGCTTTTTAAACAAGTAATGTACATTACTTTGATAAGCTTTTGTAACTTTTAAAAATAAATACTTTTCCGTCCCTTATCCCCATTTGTCATTTTCATAGGAACCATTGCTGCTAGTTTCTTATTTACCCTTGCAGATAAACTCTAAATGTAAAAAAGCAAATAGAAGTATCCATTTTATTATTACTTATACACATTGAGTAGCATTCTGCTCCTTGCTTTTTTTGCTTGCTGATATTCAATTTTTTGTTGTTTCCTCTTTAAAAATTTTAAACTGAGACATAGGCACAAATCTTAAGTATACAGCTTAATAATTTTTACATGTGTAAACACCAATGAGATCAATATACAGATATTTTCATCACCCCAGAAAGTTTCTCTGTACCTTTAGTTGATAGTCCTCCTACAGAGGTAACCACTAACCTGACTCTTGTCACCATAAATTAGTTTGGTTTGTTCTTGAACCTCATACACACAGCGTGCTCTTTGTGTCTGGCCTTTTTCACTCAACATAATGTTTTTGGAATTCATGTTGCACATATAAATTGTTTTTTTGTTGTTGTGTAGTTATAGTCCATTGTATGAAATATACCACCATTTCTTTATTCATTCTTCTGTTGTTGGACATTTGGGTTTCTTTAAAAATTTTAGTTTTTATGAGTCAAGTTGTAGGAACATATGTATACAAGTCTTTTTTATGGAAATGTGCACTCATTTCTCGTTGGTGTATACCTAGAACTGGAATAACTGAGTCATTTAATAGGCACATGTGTAGCTTTCTCAGAAATGGCCAGCTTTCTAAAATGATTGTTTCATTTTACCTGGCGGATAGCTCAGTTGGTTAGAGCATCATCCTGATACAGCAAGGTTGTGGGTTCAATCCCCGGTCAGGGCACATACAAGAAGCAACCAATGAATGAATAAATAAATAAGTCAAACAACAAATCATTGTTTCTCTTTGTCTGTCTGTCTGTCTGTCTCTCCCTTCCTTTCTATAAATCAATAAACTGAAATGTTAATAATAAAGTGATTGTTCTGTTTCATACTCCCATTCTTGTCAAAACTGGATATCATCATCTTTAATTTTAGCCCTTCTGCTAGGTGTGTAATATCTCATTGGAATGTTAATTCGCATTTCTCTGATGACAAATGATGTTGAGTATATTTTCATAATCTTATTGGCCACTCATATATGTCTTCTTTTGAAGGATATGCCTGTTTAAGTATTTTACCCATTTTTTTAAGAGTTGGGCTCTTTGTCTTTTTAGTATTGATTTGTAGGAGTTCTTTATATATTCTAGATATGAGTCTTTTGTTAGGTATATATTCCTCAATGATTTTTTTATTTTATTTTATTTTTTATTTTATTTTATTTTTTTATCCTCACCCGAGGACATTTTTCCATTTTTTGTTCAGGTAGAGTGGGAGGGAGAGAGAGGAACAGAGAGAGAGAAACATCGATGTGAAGGGACACATCGAGTGGTTGCCACCCGCACAACCGACCAGGGCCGGGGACAAACTGCAACCGAGGTACATGCCCTTAGCGGGAACCGAACCCGGGTCTCTCAGGACCGCAGGCCGACGCTCTAACCGCTGAGCCAAAGCGGCCAGGGCGGTATATTCCTCAATGATTTTTTTTTTTTTTAATCCTCACCCGAGGACATTTTTCCATTTTTTGTTCAGGTAGAGTGGGAGGGAGAGAGAGGAACAGAGAGAGAGAGAGAAACATCGATGTGAAAGGAACACATCGAGTGTCTGCCACCCGCACAACCCAACCAGGGCCGGGGACAAACTGCAACCGAAGTACGCGAGCAGGAACCGAACCCGGGTCTCTCAGGACCGCAGGCCAACGCTCTAACCGCTGAGCCAAAGCGGCCAGGGCTTTTTTTTTTTTTATCCTCACCCGAGGACGTTTTTTCCATTTTTTGTTCAGTTAGAGTGGGGGGGGGGAGAGGGGGAGAGAGAGAGAAACATCGACGTGAAAGGGACACATCGAGTGGCTGCCACCCGCACAACCAACCAGGGCCGGGGACAAACTGCAACCAAGGTACATGCCCTTAGCGGGAACCGAACCCGGGTCTCTCTGGACCGCAGGCCTACGCTCCAACCGCTGAGCCAAACCGGCCAGGGCTCCTCAATGATTTTTAAAACTAATTTCTTTTACCTTGATAACTGTCAAGTACTCCAAGCTGTAGAATGTTATTTTTAAATCATTATGAATTAACAGTGAAATGGAGTGTTACTACCTCAGACCCCAGTCTGCTTGCCAGGGGTCACAACCCCAGTGACAGTTTCTTCTTTGTCCAGGAGTATCTGTCCACAGAGGCTTCATCCTTTAGGAAAGAGCGCCTCCTAGGAAGGAGCCTAATTTTTTTTCTCCCAATTTTTATTAATTTATTTTTGTTACAAATGTTTCTCCCCCCCCCCCCAAACACCTTCCTCCCCATCCCGCCCCCATCCGCCACCCCAGAGCCTCATTGTTTTGAGAATTTTGGGTTCTTTGGTTTCAGGAGATGCAGGAACTTGGCCCTTTGAAGGAACTGACATAAACGTTGGGCTGAGGATGGAGGGGTCTGGAGGGGCCTTTAGGGATCCTCTCATTTGACAGATGAAGAAACTGAGGTGTATGATAGAAAATTGCTCCAGGTTACACTCAAAGCCTTAAAGCCAGGACACCTTGATACCCTTTGAGGGGAGCTGGGAGGTACCTGGAGCATCCTCGGATTTTACAGGGTGATGGGATGTCCGTTGCCAGTTTAGTCTCACCTGGTTCTTGCCTTTCTTCCTCAGTTCATCTCAAAGAGAGACCCAGAGGATGTCAAAGAGGTGAGGCTCCTGGGAAGAAGGGGGACCGTTCCCCAATTCCAGATCTGGAAACCGGAAAGGAACAGTTGGTAACGGTGTGGAGACTAGCCCCCTTCCTCCCTGGCCTTGGGAGGAGGGGTGTGGCGGCCCTAATCCCCACACACCCCACAGGCTGGGGGTGGGAAAGGCCTCTTCCCACCATTGCAGGGCCAGTCAGGTCTCCTGTCCCTCTTAGGTGGTGGTCTGGAAGCGGTACAGCGACTTCCGCAAGCTGCACGGAGACCTGGCCTACACCCACCGCAACCTCTTCCGCCGCCTGGAGGAGTTCCCCGCTTTTCCCCGGGCCCAGGTGTTCGGTGAGTGCCGATCTAGGCTTTCGGGCCAGACGGCCAAAGGGTGGGACAAAGGCGACCTCAGCTGGTGGGGACTGGATAGACCGGCCCGACACTCCTTGCTAGGGCCCTTAGAGATGGCCTCCTTTTACAGATGGAGACAGAAGGCCCAGAGGAGCCTCACCCTTTTTGTCAGACCTTTAACATCCCTGCCCTCTTTGGCCCCATTTTCAAGATGAGGCAACTGAGGGATGTGAAGGGGCTGGGCCTGTAAGTGGCAGAACCAGAATTCCCACCCACAAGCCCATGTTTCCTGTAGACCTGCCCTGTCCGAAAACAGCAGCCACGAGCCGCATGTGGCCGGGGAGCACTAGAGATATAATGTGCTGTTGGGGTCACATACACGGGGGGAAAATGTAAACTATCTCAACAATTTGGGTATATGTACAAATGAGAATAATTTGAATATATTGGGTTAAATAGAAAATATTATTACAATTAACATGTTTCTTTTTATTTTTTTAATGTGGCTACTAGGAAATTGTAAGATACATATATTTCTGTTGGAAAGGGCTGATCTGTACTTGGCTCTCTAGACTCACGTGAGTTCTTCTGCAGCAAGGTGCAGGTTGCTGCTGGCTGCTTGTGCCAGGCTGCTCCCACAGGCAGCATGGTAACTGCCAGAGTTAGACAGCTCTGCACACCTAGAACAGAGCAGTGATACTGTAATAAAAGGGAGCTACTTGCTGTGTGACTTTGGGTGAGTCACTTTCCCTCTCTGAGCCTCACTTTGTTCCTCAGTACATCGGAGCCATCTGAAATTATTTTGTTTCTTTTTTTTTTTATAAATGAAATTTTTATTCATTTGAAGTCCATGCATAGTTGACTGGACATAAATGGTAGAAAGTGACTTATTTATTTTTATTTATTTATTTATTTTTTTATCCTCATCAGAGGACATTTTTCCATTTTTTGTCCAGGTAGAGTGGGAGGGAGAGAGAGGAACAGAGAGAGAGAGAAACATCGATGTGAAAGGAACACATCGAGTGGCTGCCACCCGCACAACCGACCAGGGCCGGGGACAAACTGCAACCGAGGCATGCGCCCCTAGCGGGAACCGAACCCGGGTCTCTCAGGACCGCAGGCCGACGCTCTAACCGCTGAACCAAACCGGCCAGGGCTATTTTGTTTCTTATTGGTTGCCTGCCTTCCCCTGTCTAGGAGATGATATCTATGAGGGCAGAGGCCTTGCTTCTCTCTCATTCACCTTGTGAACCTAGCACATAGTATTTATTCAATAAGCATCTGGTAAATGGATGAACAGGGAGATCAGTCCCTTCTTTCAAGCACCCCCACCCTGGGAGGAGTCAGGAAGACAGCTGGGAGAATGGGGAAGGGCAGTGTTCAGATCCTCTCTGGCAGAACCAGAAGTGGCCTGTGAGTCACTGCTTCTTTTCCTGGCCCTTTGTCTGCGGGCTGTAGGCAGGTTCGAAGCCTCTGTGATCGAAGAGCGGCGAAAGGGGGCTGAGGACTTGCTTCGCTTCACTGTGCATATCCCCGCGCTCAACAACAGCCCCCAACTCAAGGAGTTCTTCCGGGTATGTGTACCTGCTTGTCCCCCTCCCCAGCACCTGGGAAACCCTCCTGCCCACCAGGCTGCACCCTGTGACTCCTCCTGGCTGGTCTTTCTCTCCTGCAGGGTGGGGAAGTGACACAGCCCTCCCAGGTATCCAGGGACCTGCACATCCTGCCACCCCCTCTGATCCCCACACCGCCCCCTGAGGAGCACCAGCCACCACCTGATGAGTCCTGGTTGCCTCAGCCACTCCCCGCTGAAAAGAGAGGCCTTGAGGAGTTGGAGGTGCCAGGTACATTGGGATGGGGGAGGGATCAAGGCTGGAGGGTCCAGAGTGGGGGCGTGGGCAAACACTCCCTCCTCAGGGATCTTAGTGAAAACCTCGGTGTGTTCCAGATCCTCGACCACTAACCTGCCGGGAGTTCTGCACAGGACATCTAGGCTGTTGTTTCTTAATCTGTAAAATGGGCACAAACCCTAAGAATGGGTTTGTTTATGCCCATGGTGGTTGCAAGGATTCAGTGAGAGAGAGCTTCATTTTGAAAGCTGTGAAGTGGTGAGGGCAGACATAATGCCCCCAATGATCTCTTCCTCAGCGGACCCCCTGCCATCCAGCCCTGCCCAGGAGGCCCTGGATCTCCTCTTTAACTGTGGGAGCACGGAGGAGGCGTCTAGTTCCCCCGCCCGAGGCCCCCTCACTGAGGCCGAGCTCGCCCTCTTCGACCCCTTCTCTAAGGAAGGTAACAAGCTGGGACAATCAGAGGGAGGGCTGGGCAGAAGGTCCTTAGAGGAAGGGAGGCAGGCAGAGCCACCAGCTAGCCTGTGGCACCTGTGTATATCTGAGAAAGGTGCCCTCTGGGGGAAAATGGAAGGCTCAATGAGAATTAGAGGCAGGTGCCATAGCCCTGTGCCAGGGCTTGGCAAACTGGATGCCCATGTACAGTGAGCAACCATAAAGGAATGGAATAAGCCACTTCCCATGATGGGATCGTCTCCCTGAGAAAGCTCTGGAATGAGTAGGGGTCACACCACTCTGGGAGGGTCTGAGTTGCAAGCTCGAGGTGGGTGTTTCCTGGTTGGCTCAGGGTCTGGCTGTAAATCCTGAAGTCAGGAGAGGCCTTTTGGTCAAGGAAGGTGAGTCCTGGGTTCAGAGAGCAGCTGGGGAAGGCCCTGGAGAAGCTGCTGGCATGTGTGGGCACCAAGATGGAAGGGGCCCCCGTGCAAGGCCAGGTCCCGAGCTTCTGGCACTGAGATCGGGGGACCTGACAGTCCTAAGCTCTGGAAGCCTGGATCTCTTCATTGTGAAATCCTCTGAGTTTATGCTCTTCCTGCAGCTGATCTCACTTCCGGATCATCATTAATCCATTTCCTTTGGATTCCTCAGCAGTCTTCTTAAGCCCCTTTTGTTGGCTTCTCTTCGCCCTTTGGTGACCTCCTAGAAGACCCTTAGTTTTCGGATCAGTTTCAGGCATTTGAGCTCTCTGACCCCCAGGTCTGATCCAAATCAGGACTCTGGTCTCATCCCATTTTCAGCCTCACCTGCCCCACCCTGCCCAGTTCTGACTAGTGGTCTGGTCCCTGGTCATGGTGACCAGGGCCCATGGTGACCAAGGGTATGAGGGTTCTTTTGCTCTTCTAATTATGCTTCCTCCCCTTCCTGCTCCAGCCCCTCCAGGGTTGGGGAGGAGGAAGGAATTGGAGGGAAAGGCAGGAGTGGTGTCACTGGAACTGATGTACCCGGCCCTGAGAGGCAGGTGTCCAAATACTCTGCCCTGCCCCAGCCCGGGGTGCTCAGTGGCCAGATGCTAGACAGGAGCCTGTCAGAGGTGTGACAGTCCCTCGGCCCGTGGGAAAGCTTACACATCCTAAACGACCCCCCCCAAAGTGGGGAACTGTAATTGCTCGGATGCTATCTCATCTTCTCACCCTACTCCTGTGGGCACCTCCAGCAAGCCTCTCAACATCAGAATCTCCAGACAAGAGTGACATTGTCTCTCTTCATCACACACACCAAACTCCTGAACTCAAGTATTAGGGTGTCCCAAGAACTTCTGCTTTCTGCTGCGTTAGCAACACAGGGAAGGCCACAGGTCCAGCAGGGAATGAGATGTCTTCTTCCCTTCCTGCAGGAAGCCCCCAGTCTGCTCTTGGGGTCACCTGGATGGGGTCGGATGGGGTCACTAGGCCAGTGGTGTGCCATGGTGCTTCCTGCTCCTGCACCTTCCTTCCAAAAGCCCTTTTTGTCACAGATTCACCAGATCTCTCATCCTCTTTTGTATAAGCTGCAGAGGGGTTGTTTGACCACCTCTTTGCCAGTCTCGGGGGATATAATGAGTCCTACTCTCTGGAATGTGAGGACACCTACCACCCAGCATCTTCACATGTGGGACCTCAGCTGAAATTGTAAAACCTCAAAAAAAAAAGTCCTAAGATTCCAAGGCTTGGAGTATTTCTGCCCTTGGCCTGGCATAGTTGGTCTAGCATCCTTCAATTAAACTTTATTGAGAGAATTCTTGGATTGATAGATCAACTGTAGTCAGGAGGAAAGTAGGACCAGTGACCCAGAGCTTGCGAACTAATGTTAATGTGTACCTAAAGAAAGAAATAGGAAGGTAGGCTGTTTTTACAAAAGCATATGAATTCCATCAATCACATAGCTCACGGCTAGTTTTCTATGCACAGTGGCTTCAGAATTGCTTAGGCACTGCTCCCCTCCACCTGGGACAGGGTGGTACCCTAATGGGCAAGAGAGGTCTGGGGATAGGCACAGGCCCTGGGAAAGGGAGGGCCAGTATGGCCTGAGTTCTCCATATCTGATTGCAGAAGGTGCAGGCTCCAGTCCTACCCACATAGGTGAGCTGGCAGCAATGGAGGCAGAGCCTGAGAGGCTGGACCATGAACCCTGGGAGCCAGGAGGGCAGCAGGAGGAAGAGGACAAGGAAGGAGGGCCTACCCCTGCCTATCTGAGCCAAGCCACTGAGCTCATCACCCAGGCCCTGCGGGATGAGAAGGCAGGTGCCTACTCTGCAGCTCTGCAGGGCTACAGGGACGGTGTGCACATCCTGCTTCAGGGAGTTGCTGGTGAGTAGGACTGGAGGGAAGAGGGTCAGGCCTGGGGTCCCAAATGGTGCAGTGAAGGGAGGGGAACGTGAAGAACAAGCAAGTCAAGAATGACAGTTGCTCCTCACTGACCAGCTGTATAACTTGGGCAGTTTCTCTACCTCTTGTGGCCTCAGTTTTCTTGTTTGTAAAATGGGGAGAATAGATCTGATCCCTAGGGAAGGGGAAATACATGTTGATGTGGGCTAGACCAGGGGTTCTAAACCCAGGTACCTCAGTTGAGCCATTCTCTCTCCACAGGTGACCCAGCGCCTGCCCGGCGGGAAGGTGTGAAGAAGAAGGCAGCTGAGTACCTAAAGCGGGCAGAGGAAATCCTGCACCTGCACCTGACCAAAGTCCCACCCTGAGCGGGAGCAGAGCCTTCCCCAGGACTAGAGCTCCAGCACTGCCAGCCACCCCCTTCTCCTCTCCCTGGGGCATGGCCCTATCTCCTGGTCTTGTAACTCCAGAGACCATTTTTGTATGTAACTGGACCAAGAATGAGAAAAATAATGACTTCTCAGTTCCCTGACCACACCCACCAGCATGAAATCACTTCTGATCCTGCCTGTCTACCTTGTGTGTGAACAGTAGCTCTGGTCATTAAACTCTCTGTTTACCCTTCTAGAACTGGGGTCTGCAAACTGTGGCCTGCAGCCAAATCTAGCCCACTACCTTTTTTTTGTAAGGCCCGTGAGCAAGAATGGTTTTTACATTTTTTAACAGTTGAAAACATCAAAAGAACAATGTTCTGTGACAGGTGAAAATGATATGAAATTTAAGTATCTAAAAATACAATTTTATTAGAATACAACTGAGCTCATTCCTTTAGTATTGTCTGTGGCTGCTTTTCCGCTACACCAGCAGGGTTGAATAGTTGCAGAGTTTAATATGTAGTTGCCACCTAAAGTCCCAAAATATTTACTATCTGATCCTTTGCAGAAAATTTGCTGACCCCAGATCTAGAAAATGGGGAGAATAGTCTCCAGGGAAAGAGAGAATGAGAGTTAGGCCGACTGGGCCAGTTTATTGTTCGAAAGGCCTGGTACAGAGGAAAATAAAGCAGGGATATACATTTTGCGGAGGTGAGTACCCGAAGCCAAATACTGACCCTTCGGTGCGCTGTGCCCTGGGGAGGTGTGGCTCCGTTTCTGCCCGCCCCCCTGCAAAGTGATTGGTTGCGGGAGGGACTACAAGCCGATGCATCATGGGATTGGCCCAGGCTGGGCGCGGAGCACTATGGGGGAATTTGCGGGTCCTGCGCTTGCAGCACGGGTAGCGCGCTGAACTACAACGCAGTGCATCTCGGGAGGCCAGCTGGAAGCTTTGTGGGAAGCAACTGGACTCGGTGAGAGGAGGGCGGTTGCCAACGGGTGGCTGGGACGTTAATACCCCGCCCCGTCTTCTCCGAACCTCAGTAGGTCTTGGCGTGCCCCCTCTTCCCGCAGAATGGGGCGAGGGGCCGCTGCTGTCCTCGGGATGCTGAGCATCCATCCTCTCCCCCCAGACCACCATGCCCGGCTGCGACCTGCCGCTGGGCACATGCCCGGATATGTGCCCGGCCGCCGAGCGCGCCCAACGCGAAAAGGAGGGCCGCTTGCATCGCTTCGAGGTGGTGCCGGGGTGCTGCGGAAAACGGCCCCGCGCTGACCCGCAGCGCGCTGTGAAGGAGTACAGCCGGCCCGCCGCCGGCAAGGCGAAGCCCCAGCCGAGCCAGCTCCGTCCGCCGGCCGTGCTGCTGGCCACCGTGCGCTATTTGGCCAGTGAGGTGGCGGAGCGCACGGACGCACCCCGCGCGGAGGTGGCCAGCTTTGTGGTGGACCGGTTGCGTGCTGTGCGATTGGACTTGGCCCTGCAGAGCGCGGGTGACGCAGAGTCCGCTGTGGTGCTGGAGGCGGCGCTGGCTGTGCTGCTGGCCGTGGTGGCACAGCTCTGGCCCAGTGCAGCCGACGGGCCAGTGGACCCGGTGCTGCTGCAGGCCCAGGTGCAGGAGGGCTTCGGTTCGCTGCGGCGCTGCTACTCGCAGGGCGCCAGGCCGCACCCCCGCCAGGCCGCCTTCCAGGGCCTCTTTTTGCTCTATAACCTGGGTGAGTCGGGGTCCCAGCGGCAGGACAGAAAGTGGGGGCGGGGGACCCTGCATGTGAACAGTGGATGCCGGGAAGGAAAGAGAAGCTTTAAAATCTCACCCTTAGCCTTCTCCCCATCCCTGCCTCTTAAATGTGTGTCAAGTCAAAGCACAAGATCCACCAACCCCCGCCATAGGCCTTCAGTCTCAGTTTTCTCTAATTAAAAGTGGAGATGGGATTGGAACAGGAAAGTTGGCCTACAGAGTGATTTTCAAACTTTTAAAATCTCCAGTCAGTGTTGTAAAGCATCCAAGAACACATGCCTACAAATATATCTGACATAGTTTCAATACCTGGGATCCTTTTTGTGGATGGTGCATTCTAATAAGTTCTCTTTAAATGTAGTAAAATGCTGTTGACTTCACAACCTACTAATGGGTCAGAATCCTCAGTTTACAAAAATGGTCAAAGATTCCAGTGTCCGTGATTCTTTTGGAAGGGAAACAGGGACAGTATCTCCTCGAAGAAAAAGCCTTACCAGAGGGATGGGAGATGGTGTGTGGCCAGTGCCCTGATCTGTGGGGCAGGTAGGGCAGTGGAGAAAGGGCTGGGTTTCAAGTCAGAAAACTTGGATATGATTGGATTGGGTTCTACTACATGTGAACTATAGGACAGTCTCAGGCAAGTAGTAAAATTATCTGGGCCTTTTACCCTCGTCCATAAACACTTCCTCACTTTAATATGAGGATCCGGACAGTGGGAAGGGGCAACCTCTGGCAACTCATTCAGATATGACTCAGGAAGGGCTGATGGGAAAAGGTGGAGTGAAGGTGGGCTTGACCTAGGAGAGGAGCGTGGCCAGAGCTGGTTGGTAGGCTGAACCAAGGTGGGGCGATGGGCTTGGTAGAGGGGGGCATAAGTGATGGCACAGAAGGTGGGCCTGATCCTGGAAGGACTCATCCTGTTCTCATCCTGACTTCCCGCCCTCACAGGCTCGGTGGAGGCCCTTCATGAGGTTCTGCAGCTGCCAGCTGCCTTGCGTTCCTGCCCAGCCCTACGCACAGCCCTGGCTGTGGACGCGGCCTTCCGAGAAGGCAATGCCGCCCGCCTCTTCCGCCTGCTCCGGGCCCTGCCATACCTGCAGAGCTGCGCAGTGCAATGCCACGTGGGCCATGCCCGCCGCAGAGCCCTAGCCCGCCTGGCTCATGCCCTGAGCACCCCCAAGGGACAGTCCTTACCCCTGGGATTCATGGTCCACCTGTTGGCCCTGGATGGGCCTGAGGAGGCACGGGACCTATGCCAGGCCCATGGACTGCCCTTGGATGGGCAGGAGAGAGTTGTGTTCCTGAGGGGTCGCTACACTGAGGAAGGGCTGCCACCTGCTGGGACCTGCAAATTGTTGGTGGGGAGCAAACTTGGAGGACGAACCCTGGAGGAAGTAGTCATGGCAGAGGAGGAAGATGAGGGTGGGGACAGATCCAAGTCCCGGGCATGAGGAGGGGTTGTGCAGTCTCCCAGAGCCCAGGACTGAGTCTGAGCACTAAGGTTTCTTTTTCACGATTCCCACACAATAAAAGGAACTTGATTTATAGGGACAATAGCAGGCTTGATTTATTTGGGGAAGGGCAGGGAGGAGTTGAGAAAAGCTAGGGGTATGAGGGTAGAGGAACCCAGAGTGGGCAAGGCTCTATTTACCCTAGGCCTCAGTCGCCCTGCTGATCCCTGAGGGGTGGCCCTGGTGGACTCTGAGGTTGGCAATATGTATCCTTTCCTCACCCACCACCAAGGGCAATTGAAGGTTTTGGTATTCCCACCATCCCCACCTCCTGTTCTCAACCCTCTGCCAACCAAGAGCCAGGATGAGGGAGACTTTCATCCAGGGCTTGTCACTCCCCTCGGGTGACCACAACTGGCAGGATCCTTAACTATTGCCCAGAAGCTTGAGAGGATCCCATGGTCATGACTTTTCTTGCCATCAGAGAAGACTGGGATACCCAAAGAAAATGAGAGGGAGAGGGTTAGAATAAAGGGTGGTAGTGGGGAGCTGAGGAAGGAGGGCTGGGGTCTCAGAGGTCAGCCACAGGCCTCAGGGTGGCTGCTGCACCCTCCAAGGCCACCACCACAATGCTAAGCTGCCTCTGCACTTCAGCCCAGGCCGCAGATCCTGGGTCTGTGTTCATGGCCCTGGAACAGGCATTGGCCAGGCCTGGGAATGTGGCTACAGAGCCAGTACGGGGTGCCCAGAGCACATGGCTAACAGGAGAAATAGGAGAGGATCAGGGTCATTCAAGGGCCAGAAATGGGGGGAGCCTCCGCCTGAAACAGGCTAAGCTCATACATAGCTAGGCACTAAAGCACCTCCCACTGCCTCTAAAAGCTGGGCCACCGACAGCAGTGGTGGTAGCAGATGTAGGTGCTAGTCCCAGGGTGACCTTGACTGATTTGCATCCCCTTCTTTGAGCCTGATTCTTCTAAAGGTCAGTGAAATGCTGACAGTCTCCTCCCTTGGTGCCTATTACCCAGCCTCACCCCACCACACCTCCCAAGAGCTTTGGGACAGGCTCACCTATAGTAGCGTTCCTCTGGGAAGGCTTTCGGGTTCAGGAAGGCCCGTTCCAAGAGCATCAGCTGGTCATTGAGCATCCGTACCTGCAGGGGGCTGGAGGTGGCAAGACCTGCTAGTCACTCTGGAGACAGCAGTTGAGCTGCCAGCCTGAATGCCACCTTCCCAGACACCTGCATGCTGCCCTTGCTCACTCGAAGGTGCCCTTCTGCAGTGCCGATATGTGTTGGCCCAAGGCTACAGCTGCCCCCTCGAACTTCTCCACTGCAGTCACCAGGGGCCCTGTGGGATACAGCCAGCATCTTAGCCCCGGGAATGCAGGTTCCCCTGGGCCTCAATGTCAGCGGGCCTTCGTACCCAGGCTGATGCTGTGCTGCTCCAGCAGGGCCCCGAGGTCCTGCTGGGCAGCCTGCAGAAACTTTCGGAGGGTCTCACTGTAGTCACTGACGTTGAGAGGTAGGAAAAGGCTGTCACTAAGCCGAAGAAGCACGTTCCCTGCTGTCCGGGCCACGGCCTGGTGGCTGCTGAAACCTGCAGGGAGGGCGACAAGGTCAGGGCTCAGTCTTCAGTCCATCCTCCTCCAGCCTCAGGATAGCCTTGCCCCTCTCCTCACCAGGGTCCACAAACTTGTCCACATAACCAAACGTGTCAAAAGCTGTATGGTAGGTGGGGTAGATCCGGGCAGAGGTCTTGCTCTGGGGGAACAAAGTCCAGAGGTGACAGGCTTGAGATGGGAAGTGGGAGGAGGTGTACCTAGAGTGAGCTACAAGCAGGGACATTATTTCAAGTTATTGCCCCATCCATGAGGTAGGGTCTAGAATTTTACAGAGGAAGAAACTGACGCTCAGGTCAAGTAACCTGCCTGACAGCATACAGCTAATAAGTGGCAGAGCTGGGTCAGGTGCCAGTTTCCTGTTTCACGTGAAGAAATGCCTGGAGCTTTGGAGTCAGACAGGATTTAAATCCAGCTTTACTACCCAGAAGCAGTGTGGCCATGAAGGGGAGAAACTGCTTTTGGAGACACAGGCTGGGCCTCTGCATCCCTCTCCCCTTTCACTCTCACACCAATGCTATGGGTCAGCCCTATTTAATACCATTTTAAGACCCTTGGAATCGGGATGCTTACAGTTAATGGTACCCTACACCTAACTGGTAGTGGGTTTTTCCCTCCTGAATAGTGCATATCATAATAGTGCATCTTATAATCAATATTATCTCTAGTTTGATTAATTAGATTAGCATAAGCAGATTCTCAGAGAAGTTAAGAAACTTGGCCAAGGTAACACAGCTATGAGTGATGGAACTGGATTCAGACTGCAGTTGAGAAGCCTAAAGGACAGGAGGGGGCTGGCTGGTGGAGCAAAGTATGGAGCTGAGAGAGGCTCACCCGGTCATAGGTGTAGGCGATATCCATGGAGGAGATGCCCAGGAAGTGAATAAAGGGTGCATAGTCACTGCCAGCACCCAGAGAGCCCAAGCTGTGGGAAGGAAGATGGGCTAGAAGCTGCTGGGCTAGTCCACCCACCCAGGACCCTGGTCCCGGCTCCCTGCTCACCTGGGGACCAGGCCATACACTGGGCTGCTACGGTTGAAATACTGGATCCAGTTGTCATAGATGCTGAGGCTACCAGGGCCTGGTGCGGGGATCTGACCCGAGGTGAATCTAGTTCAGGGGCTGGCCCCTCCCCAGACCCAACAGTTAACAGGTCCTCTGCACTGCCCACCCTACTCTCCAGTCAACGCAGTCCTGCGGGTCCTACAAGGCCCAGCCCCAGTCTCAGTCCCACCCCCAGCCCCTACAGTAAGTACCAGTTCCAGCCCCACCCACCCCTATAGCCCTGCCCAGACCGTCCTCCTCCCCGCCCCACTCCCTTCCACCTGTTTGGCTGCGGAGAAGATGACGCTTTGGACGGGGGGCGTCCCCTGCGCCCTCAGGGTGGCATTGGCTGTGGGAGGATCAGGGAAAAGCTCTATCCCGGCCCCAGCCCCTTTATTTCCCTCCTCCTCAGTCAGCCCAGGCGCCCCCATACCAAACACCGAGATGTCCACGTTGATGTAGGCCACCGTGCGCTCCTGCAGCTTGTTGAAGAACTCCTGCAGGTGAGAGGGGCGATGCCAGCCTGGCACTGCCCTGCCCCAGGGATCCCCTTGATCGCCTGCCCTGGAGGCTCACTCACCTCCGTGAATTCTGTGGAGCCAATGAGCCCAAACTCCTCTGCCCCCCAGCTCGCAAACATGATAGATCTGCGGGGGCGCCAGGTACCTGGGGATAGGGACAAAGGGCTGGAGGGCTGGAGAGCAGGGGCCAGATCTTGGGGAGACTTACAGAAAGGTTGAGGACGTGGAGAGGACAGAGGGCTAGAAGTGTGGTGTAGCCTGTGACAAGAGGTAGGTTCTGGCACCTCTCCAACCAAGCCTTCCCAGAGACTTTGTCCTCCTTTTCCAGCCTTCCTGCTCTACACCCTACCACCACCCCAACATTGCCCCCAGCACCAATCTCCCTCAGTCAGGTGGGCCCTTAGCCAGAATGCCCTGCCTCCCTCTTCTCTAGAGGTATGCTTTGAGAAGAAGGCCTCCTGACCTTCCACCTCCAACTCCCTTTGCCACGCGCCCTAGGAAAAGCTGGCCCATAACCTCTTCACCTGGTGACAGTATATTAACGTTTTCCTAGGGCTTTGTCCGCATTGAGCTAACTAACCCTTGCAACAATGCCTTGAGGAAGAGACTCCTACTGTCCCCATGTCACAGTTGAGAAAACTGAGTCACAGACAAGTTAAACTACTTGCCCAAGATGACATCGCTGGTAGGCAGCAGAACCAGTGTTCAAATCCAGGGTCTGGCTGCAAAGTCCAGGGGCTTAACCAGTGCCCCACACTGCCTCTCATAGCCTCCTGCTTTCATCTCAAGCCTCCATGCCCACCTTCCAGAAGCCCTGGTGGTCCTTGCTTGCCCCTGACCTCCTCCAGACTCCCCATCACCTTCCATCACGACACATGCTCCTGGCTGTGCTCCCATCTCTGACTGCAACTCAGTCCCCTTTGATCATTCCTCATCTTTTTCTGACATAAATTTAAATTTTTAAGTATAAAATTATTACATGCTTGTAATTACAAATTTCTATATTTTTTCCAGCCAAAAATGAATAACCTGAATCTAATCAGACAAACCCAAATTGAGGGATGTTCAACAGGATAATATCAGAATCAAGAAAGACAAAGAATGGCTAATGAGCTATTACATAGTACACATGCAATGTTTGATCCTGGATTGGCTCTTGAACCAGAAAATTCTTTTACTCTAAAGGTCATTATAGGAACAATGGCAAAATTGTTAATTTCCTGGTTCTGATATGGTCCTGAGGTTATGAAAGAAAATGTCCTTATATTTAGGAGATATATGGTGATGTGTTTATGGGTAAAGGTGCAGGATTTCTGCAACTTTCAAACGCTTCAGAAAAATATATAAATAGAGCAAATAAGGTGATGTATTGATATTAGGAGTATCTCTATCAAGGGTATATAAGGTTTTGCACTATTTTTTGAAACTTTTTTTCTTCTTTTTTTTAAATCCTCACCTGAGGATACTTTTTTCCATTTTTTGTTTTTAATCCTCATCCGAGGTTTTGTGTTGTTTTTGTTTTGTTTTGTTTTGTTTCATTTATTGGTAGAGTGGGAGAGAGAGGGAGAAAGAAAAACATCTATGTGAGAGAGACACATTGACTGGTTGCTTCCCGCACGACCGCAACCAGGGCCAGGAACCGAACCACAACTGAAGTATGTGCCCTTGGCCAGAATCAAACCCACAACTCTTTGGTCTGCGGACCAATGCTCTAACCGCTCAGCCAAAACGCGCAGGGCCTTTTTTTCATTTTTATCTTCAGGTAGAATGGGGAAGAGAGAGAGAGAGGGAGAGAGAAACATCGATGTGAGAGAGACACATCAATTGGTTGCTTTCTACATGGTGGGACAAACCAAAACCAAGGTACATGCCCTTGACCGGAATCGAACCCGCAACTCTTTGGTCCTCAGGCCTATGCTCTATGGCTGAGCCAAACCGGCCAGGGCTTTTTGCAACTCTTTTGTAAGTCTGAAATTGTTTCAAAATAAAATACTTAACAACAATAACTGACATTCCTGTACTACCAAAAGGGGTCAGGTCAGAAGCCCAGCCTCTCACCACAGGATTCTTCACTTCACTCCCCCAGGGCCATCGCTTAAACACAACCGCATCTGTGGCTTCACACACCATTTACGCCACCAACTCTCCAGTTTCTCTCTTTTTGACCTGGAGATCAGCACCTTCAACTGCCTGCTTGCCCAAAATGCCTCCTGGGCACCTCAAAATCAATACATGAAAAAGCACACAATCTATAAAGATGTAATTTGTGACATGGATGACATAAGGGGGAAGGACAGAGTTTTATAGGTGTAGAGCTTTTGTATGTGATTGAAGTTGTTGCTACCAATTTCAAATTAGACTGTTGTAACATTAGGATGTTATATGTAATGGAAGATGAAAATGTTGTAGAGATGGATGGTGGTGATGGTTGCACAACAGTGTGAAGGCACTTAATGCCACTGTACTGTACACTTAAAAACGACTAGAAGGTAACTAATAAATGAAATAAAACAAAACAACTCACAGATACAGAGAGCAGATCGGTTACCAGAGGGAAAGGGGGGTGGAATAGGCAAACGGGGTGTAGGGGGCCAATTATATGGTGATGGGTAGTAACTAGACTTTTGGGGGTGATCAATTTACAATGTATACAAGATGTCAAGTTATAATATATATATTCATATTCCTTCCAACATGAAGAACAAGGGTCTCTCAGCCTACCTGTGCTTGGGAAGTAGTTACATCAAAGTATGGTCATAAGTGCTGACATTTAAAAAGTAAAGTAAGCCCTGGCCGGTTTGGCTCAGCGGTTAGAGTGTCAGCCTGTGGTCCTGAGAGACCTGGGTTCGGTTCCCGCTAAGGGCGCGTACCTCGGTTGCAGTTTGTCCCCGGCCCTGGTCGGTTGTGCGGATGGCAGCCGCTCGATGTGTTCCTTTCATGTCGATGTTTCTCTCTCTCTCTCTGTTCCTCTCTCTCCCTCCCACTCTACCTGAACAAAAAATGGAAAAATGTCCTCGGGTGAGGATTAAAAAAAATCATAATAAAAAATAAAAATAAAAAGTAAAGTAAAATATTGGGGGATGGAATGGTAAGTTTGTAAAATGTTAAAAATGTTAAGATGGTAAATTTTATGGTATGTATATTTTACCACAATAAAAACAAAACAAAACAAAAAATCATTATGGCCCTGGCAGGGTTTCTCAGTGGTTAGAGCGTCGGCCCACATACCGATGACTTGTCCCGGTCAAGGGCGTGTACCTCGGTTGCAGTTCCTCCCCAGCCCTGGTCGGGGTCTTGCAGGAGGCAACCAATCAATGTGTCCCTCTCACATTGACGGTTCTCTTTCTCTTCCTTTCGCCTACTCTCCCACTCTATCTGAAGATAAATAGAAAAATATCCTCGGGTGAGGATTTTTTAAAAAATCATTATGCGAGGAACCAAACTCCATTCTTCCCCCCAGATTGGTGATCAGCCCTCTGCTCCTGTTTTGCTTTTCATAAATGGCACCTCCATACACACTGAGCTGCTCAGACAGAAATCCAAGAGCCCCCACTCATCTTCTTCCTCACCTCTGTCACAGACAGACCCCAGGTCTTCAGACTGTCTCCTTCCCACTGCCCCTACCTGGTCCATGCCCCTATCTCCCCTGGCTCTGAGGATGACAAGGCCTCTAGTCCGTCCCTCCACTCAGGGCCTTCCTCTATACCCTTCCTCACTGTAGCAAAGGAAGCCATTTAAAATTTGGCCCTGGCTGATTTTGCTCAGTGGTTAGAGCGTCGGTCCTCAAGACCAAATGGTCTCTGGTTTGATTCCTGGTCAAGGACTTGTACCTGGGTTGCAGGTTTGATCCCTGGCCCTGGTCAGAGTCATGTGGGAGGCTGCCAATCAGTGTGTCTCTCTCAAGTCAAAGTTTCTCTCTCTCTCTCTCTCTTTGCCTCCCTCCCTTCCACTCTAAGAATTAATGGAAAAATATCCTCTGGTGAGGATTAACCAAAGAAACTAATCAAAATAAAATAAAATAATAAAATAAAATATAAAAAAATAAAATAGATAAATAAAATAAATAAATAAAATATAAAATAAGTTAAATAAAATAATAAAATAAAATAAAATTTGGGCTCCATCATGTCACTCTCTTGATTGAAATCCCTCACCAGCTTCCTGCTGCCCTTGGATGGAACTTCAAACTAGTCCTGCCAGCTCTGCCACCTGCTTCAGCCCTCCTTGTGCCACGCTGTGCCCTCCACCTGGATCCACCCTACCCCCTTTCCCTGAGCTGCCCTCTGTCTTGCACCCGGAGGGCCCTTCAGATGTTTCTTTATAGCACCTGTCACAATTGCCATTACATGCAGGAACTCCAGGGTACACACTGTGGGATCTCTGCTTAGAACTGGCCTGACGTGTAGTAGGCACATATTTGTTGAGTTGGTGACTGTCATCCCTGCCTCAGCTGGTCTGACGCTCCCAGAGGGCAGAGCCTGGATGCTGCCTTGCTCACAGTGGCATCTGGACCTGGTTCCACTGAGGGGCACAGCAGCCCTCAGAAACCATGGTACAAATTAATCAACGGTCTCTTCCCTGCACCACACTGGGCTACTTCAAGCCAGGGCTAGTGTCCATGCGTGTCTGCCCCAGGGCCTTCAGGCTTGTCACAAGTGGGCACTGGAGAATGAGAGGGAGGAGGTGGGACAGGATGTCCAGAGCTAGGAAGGAGTGGATTAGAGGTGACTTCCCAGGAGGAGAGTCCTGGACCAGGGGAGGGAGCGGCCTCACCCTTCTTCAGCAGGGTCCCCAGGACGCGGGAGAGCTCCAGGAGGACAGCAGTGCCACTGCTGGGGTCCACGGCCCCGTGCACCCAGCTGTCCCGGTGGTTTCCATACAGCACATAGCGGTCTGGCGGAAGGAGTAGAGTCAGGAACCAGAGAAGACAGCAGGAAGTCCAGGCGGGTGGAGGGGGCGTGGTCAGGAGCGCTCAGAGCAGGGCGGGTCCTGGGGGCGCAGGGAGTCCAGAGGGGACGCTCGCTCACCAGGCTCCACAGCCCCGCGGATGATCCCCAGGACGTTGGAGGAGTTCCGCAGCTCCAGGCGGTTGTGAACACTCATGTTCACCTGGCTAAGGGAATGAAGGAGGCGCAGCTCACTCCCTGCCACCCCTATGCCCACTCCCTGCCCCACTGCAGGACAAACTGAGGCCCAGAGCCGAATGGGACAGGGCAAAAATCACATGCCCAGAAGCACCAGGAGAGGCAGCAAGGCTAGAGCCCAGCTCCTCTGACTCCTGTTCTGCTCTCCATTGATTCAGTGGCTCACTCAATCAGTCAGTACTTATAAGATATTTGATATATGCCGGCACCGCACTAGGCTCTGGCCAATGACAGACATGGACCCAACCTTCTGGGGCCTCCCTGTCCTGAGCCGAAGACCACGAGGACATGAACAACTGCAGCTGACCTGGAGGCAGCTATGGAGGTTACTGCGGGCCAGGAAAGGCAGGGGCATCGGGAAGGGTGTTTTTGGCAGAGGGAACAGCAAGTGCGGAAACCCTGACTTGGGAATGAGCTCGGTGTGTTCAAGAGAGGGGGCAGCTGCAGAGTGGAGGTCTGAGATAAAGTGGGGGGACCCCACAGGAACTTGTGGGCCATGCAGCTATTTCACTGTTTCCCCCAAAGACAAGACATATTTTGGACCAGGGGAGGGTTTGAGCAAGAGAAGAAAGGGAAGGACCAGGCCTTGGAGTGAGCAGAGTGGAAACTCAGGGTCAGGGAAACATAACAAGGAAACAGGAGAAGAGAGTTGAGGGGAGAGGGCGCCCCATCTCACCTGCCTGCAAAGGGACCATCAGGCTTGAAGCCGGGCCCCAACTTGTAGTCACAGCCTAGTGCTCCCTGCCAGGCAGCCAGGGCCGAGGTTCCTTGGAGGTTACTGGGGAGGAGGGGGAGAGCCTTTAGAGCAAATATGGGTGTGGGGGGTTGGAGTTTGGAGGCCACTGGAGATGGGCAGGAGACCCCAGGGCACAAGCTCACCAGAGAAGGACTTTGGCATCTTCAAAGCCAATGGGCTGGATGGGAATTGGGGGAAATCCGGAGACAGTGGCAGGGTCCAGGCGAAAGGAGGAGGGGTTGGCTGGAAGGTAGGGAGTCAAGGGATCCCCAAAATACTCATAGTAGGAGCCTCGTTCCACCCCAGAGGGAGGCAGGTGCCAGGAGTGTGGGAAGGTCTCGTTGGGCAAGCTCTGCCCGTCATTGATGTCTGCCGGGTCTGTGTACACCAGCACCCCAGCCACCTGGTGCTTGGCAGCATTCACAGCCTGCAGGAGGAAGAGGAGGAGGCTATGTTTAGGAGAGGGTGAGGATGCTTGCGGTATTTTGCTCACTGTGGAAGCCAGGACAGACCTATCTTCCCACTGGCAGGATGATGGTTGCCCAAATTATTCATTGTGATGCTGCTTGAGATAGCAAATACTGTTGGCCATAGACAAGCCAGCGCTTATGGGGGGTCTGGGTTGAATAAATTGACACACCCTACAAGGAAATACTATGCAAATCTATAAAAGAACAAGGATGTGCTGGTCCACCCATGTTCATAGTAGCACTGTTCACAATAGCCAAAAGGTAGACACAACCCAAGTGTCCATTGACGAACTGCTGGATAAGCAAAATGTGGTATATAAAATGCACGGGACTATTATTCAGCCTCCAAAAGGGTGGAAATTCGGATACAACATTGGTGAACCTTGAAAACCTTATGCTAAGGAAAATAAGGCATATGTCTATAAAAGGACAAATATTGTATGATTTCTCTTATATGAGATACCAAGAACAGGCAAATTCACAAAGACAGAAAGTTGAATAAAGGTCACCTGGGGCTAAAAGGGAGAAAGAAGATTAGTGTTTAATGGGGACAGAGTCATATGGAATGGTGCAAGAGTCCTGGAAATGGCTGGTGGTGATCACTGCCCAATTTTGCAAATGTTCTTAATGCCACTGCATTGTATGCTTAGAGATGGTTAAAATAGCAAATTTTGTTACATATGTTTTGTCACAATAAAAACAAACAAGGATCTTTTTAAAAAGGCGGAACAAGCCCTGGCCAGTTTGGCTCAGCAGTTAGAGCGTCGGCCACTCGATGTGTCCCTTTCACATCAATGATTTTCTCTCTCTCTCTCTACCTCCCACTCTATCTGAACAAAATATGAAAAAATGTCCTCAGGTGAGGATAAAAAAAAAAAAAAGGCGGAACAAAGACAGAGTTTATTTACCAACTGAGCACAACTTCCAGGGTGTATTGAGGTGAAGAAAGCACTTCTCAGAGCAGTGGGAGCTGCTATTTCCACGTGAAAGGAGGGGACTAGGAATATATATTCATATGTGCTTCTTCCTAAAGAAACTCAGGATAGATATCCCAGAAACTAAACAAGAGTGGTGACCTCTTTGGAGGATGGCATTACAGGAGAACTTTTTCACTTTATACAGCTGTGTTTGTTTGTTTTTTAACTGAAAATTCCATCATGCCTGCCCCCATCCCTTTTATTCTTTTTTTCAGCTCTTATCATGGGCACTTCTTTTAAAACTGTGGTCAACGGCCTGGCCAGTTTGGCTCAGCGATTAAAGCACTAGCTCTTGGACTGAAGGTTCATCGCTTTCTCAGTCAAGGGCACCTGCCATGCGGGGTGTGCCTCTCTCACATGGATGTTTCTCTCTCTCTCTTTCTCGCCCTCCCTGCCTTCTACTCTATCTAAAAATTAATGAGGAAATACCCTTGGGTGAGGATTAGCAACAAAAACAAAAATAATAATAAAAAAACTGATCAAGTACACATAACATAAAATTTTCTATCTTAACCTTTTTTTTAATCCTCATCCAAGCATATTTTTCCATTAATTTTTTTTTAGATAGAGTGGGAGGGAGGGAAGGAGAGAGAGAAACAGAGAGAGAAAGAAAGAGAGAAACATTGATGTAAGAGAAACACATCGACCATTTTAAAGTGTACAGTTCAATGGTATTAAATACATTCATGTTATTGTGCAACCATCACCACCGTCCATCTCAGAACTCTTTACATCTTGTAAATCTGAAATTTTGTATCCACTAAACACTAACTCTTTCTCACTCTATATCTGTTTGTATTTTTTAAATTTTTTGTTTTGTATGTCTGGCCAGTGTGGCTCAGTGGTTGAGCGTCGACCCATACACCAAGAGGTCACCGGTTCAATTCGCGGTCACGGCACATGCCCAGGTTGTGGGCCCGATCCCCAGTCGGGGGCATGCAGGAGGTGGCCAGTCTATGTTCTCTCCCATCGATGTTTCTCTCTCTCTCTCTCTCCCTCTCTCTCTGAAATCAATAAAGGAAAATAAATAAATAAAATTTTATATATTTTTAAATATGTTTTTATTGATTTTTTAGAGAGAGATAGAAACATCAATGTGAGAAACACCGATCAGCTGCCTCCTGCACGCCCCCTACTGGGGGGATTGACCCTGCAACCCAGGCATGTGCCCTGACTAAGAATCGAACCGGGACCTCTCAGTCCATGGGACACTGCTCAATCCAGTGAGCCCCACCTGCTGGGCTTTAGTCAAAATTTTTAATTGAAAAGAAGCAGGTTGCGGGAGGGCAACTGGAGGTATTTAAGTTGAATATTCAGAACTACTTCACAGGAAGACTTAGACTCCCAAATAATCGAAGCTGAAAATTTAGCCTAATTCCTTTATCTCCTGAGGCTCAGAGAGGTTAGTGGAGGCATTCGAGGTCACACAGCACATCAGTGGTATAACACAAATACAGCTTGGCCCACCACTTAACACTGCTCCTTCCCCTTCCCCTCAGTTTCTCCTGTCCACTGCTGGGCCCCTCTCCCCACCCAGCGCCCTGCATCGAAGGCTGCTGCTCACCTTGGCTCCGCGTCCTACACCCCCGTAGCGGGTCAGGGCGATGGTGCCATTGAGTTGGATGCCCCGAGCTTGTAGCTCCTGGAAGTCTTCTTCGGAGCCCCGGTTGGCGTAGACAAGGAGGCCCTAGTCCCAAGAGGAGGTCATCCGTAGAGCCAAGCCCAGGAAAGACGGAGTGGGAAAGGAGAGGAAAAGCTGGGCAGCAGGATAAAGGGTGTAAATTCTGTTCCCCACCTCCCCGAGAGCTCGCAAAGCTGCCAAGGTGTCCTCTGAGTCCAGGTACCTGTATCTGGCCTGGCCTAGAGCAGGGACCCTTAGTGTTTGTTGAGTGACTGAGCGATAAGAGAAAGAAGTAGCAATGGACTGTGGAGGTGAGTTCGTTCTGGGGGTGGGGGAGCTAAGCCTCAGTTGAGGCCCATTTCCTCAGCTGCCCCTGGGTCAGGGTGGGAGAAGCTGGAGTGGGAGCCAGGGTGAGCCGGGCCACGGCAGTGGGGAGGGCGTGTTCTAGGCCCACCTGTGGGGTTCCAGAGGGAGCATAGGCAGCATAGGGTGGCACCACATCGGGCCCCCCCTGCTCCCCAGTCAGGTTCTCTTCGCTCTGGCGACAGGAGTAGACGATGTCCCCAGTGGGACCCACTGTGGAAGGGGAGCAGTGTCAGGACTGGGCCCCACAGCTCCCCACCCCACAGGCATCCCTAGCCCAAAGTAGGCAGGACCTCACCAACTGCCACGCGGTTAGGCTGCTCCCGACTGGGGAAGGACAGCAGCACCTCATATGCGGAGGCCCCCGCAGAGTCCAGGCCTGACTCTGGGTCCTGCCAGCGCCGCAGCAGCAGCTGCACCAGCGCCTCGTCCTGGGGACTGGAGGCCAGGTGCGGCTCCCTGGACAGCTCTCTGCTGGGTGGGCAGAGGGGGCGGCAGGCCCAGGGTCAGGGAGGGGCCTCTGGCAAACAGAAAGAGCAGGCAGATAGGCTTCTCACCTAAGATTCTCCCGGATCCTGCTGGCATCCAGCTGTTTCATAATGGTCTCAAGGATCTCTGGGTCCAGGTCCTGGGAGACTGAGGCACTGGAGGCTGGTGGGTTGGCTCCTTTGGGGATGGCAAAGTGGCCCAGGATGATCCCCAGCCCCAAGAGGGCAGCGGCCCCCACCACCCCTCCAAGCACCTTCACCCACTGCATCCTGTGGAGTCTTGGCCAGACAAGGTGGCTTTTTAGAGATAGGGTGTCAGGTTGAGTTAACCATTACCCCTGGGGTGGCCCTGCCCTTTGCCTCCTCGCTGTCAGGGAAAGTGAGGGAGCATCCCACAGGGAGGGCCAGGAACTGTTCACATCACCTCAGTGTCTGTGTCATTCACCTGGAAAAGACCTTCAGGGCCCTCGAGTCCACACAGGGACACTGAGGCCCAGAGAGGGACCAAGGTGTCTCAGTATAACAGAAGCCAGGCCCGGTCAGAACCCCTGTGTTCAGAGCAGGGTTGTGCTTATTGGCCATCATCCCTCCCTCTGTCTCCTCAGTGTCATTTGAGCTCCAGCACATCCAGCACTGGCTGCTGAGTAGGTTTGAGTTCAAATCCCATCCTTCCTAGACATAGGCTGTGTGACCTTGGGCAATTCACTTAGGTTCTCTGAGCCTGGTTTCTTAGCTGTAAAATGGGGGTGATAGAACCTATTTCAAAAAACTGTGTCCTGTTATCATTCAACAAGACATGTCTGTAGAAATATCTAGCCCATTGTCTGGCACGTAGTGGAAGCTCAGTACATTTTAGCCACTCCTGCTTCACTTGACCCCTTAAATGCAAAGTCTGGAGCTAAAGGAAGAAGGGGGACCTAGAAGAATTCTCTGTATCTAGCCTGCAGGGGTCCCAGCTTATGGGAGGCTGTTCGAGAGGATGGAAGGGAAGCCCACACTACCTTGGCAATGTGACTTCTTCTTCCATCCCCTGACTCCATCTGGAACCCAGTCATCTGTTCATCCATCCATCCGCCTATTTATTCACTACCCACCCTCATATCTACCCATCTATCCATCTACCCACCTACCCACCCACTTATCCACCCACTTTCCTATCCATCCATCCATCCATCCATCCATCCATCCACCCACCCACCCATCCTTCATTTATTCACTCCATCACTTAAATCAGCAAGAATCATTGATTCATTCAGCTCTATGCCAGATCCGTGCCAGGCCCTAAGGAAGCAAAGATGGCCAGGAACTCAAGTCCAGCAGGGGATACAGACAGGCTTTGGACTCAACCATGTGGTAAGTGCCCCTACAGGAGGACCAAGCCCTGGCCAGTTTGGCTCAGCGGTTAGAGCATTGGCCTGTGGTCCGGAGAGACCCGGGTTCGGTTCCCGTTAAGGACCCATACCTCGGTTGCAGTTTATCCCCAGACCTGGTTGGGTCGTGTGGGTGGCAACCACTCGATGTGTCCCTTTCACGTCAATGTTTCTCTCTCTCTCTCTCTCTCTCTCTCTCTCTCTCTCTCTCTCTCTCCCTCCCTCCCTCCCTCACACTCTATCTGAACAAAATATCGAAAAATGTCCTCGGGTGAGGATAAAAAAAAGGACCAATGTGTTTCCAGTGAGGAGAAAAGATTTCTGTTTAGGAGGGACCATTAGAGGATATCTTCCAAGGATGAGAAGGAATTCAGCATGCAGAGAAGAAAAGGGACTGGCCATCTGTACAGATGGCCTAGCATGTGTAAAGGCTGGGGGAGAAAGGACACTAAGTACTCAGCACAAATACTGAGTCTCTTCCAGACCTCAGAGAGCCAGGCAAAGCTGGGAAGGTCCCTGGGGCTCAAACTATGACTCCTCCCATGTGTATCCTGCCTTGGTATCCAGCCAGGCTGCAGCCCATTGATAGGCCCAAAGATGCCTGAAGAGCTGGGGGAGTTGGGCCATGGTTGACTTACTGTGTGTGTGCATGCATGCGTGTGTGTGTGTGTGTGTGTGTGTGTGATTTCACAACCCTCTGTAGGAGCAGCCCCCTTCCTGCTCACAGCCCCACCTGCCTCGTGCCCCACCCTGTCCATCTTCCCTGTGCTGCTAGTCAGGAGGATTTGCATGTTAGCACGGGAGGACTGGAGGTGGGGTGGGGGATGTGATCAGTGACTTCAAGGACGTGCACCAGGAAGCCACCTTCTTGGCGAGATGATTATCAGCATTCAGGATATTGACCTTGGATCTTATCAGAAGCCTGTAAGTGTAGAGAGCACACACATTCCTTATGAGGACACAGGAGGCAGTCACCACCAGGAAGGCAGTGGGACACCAAGGTCAGCTGATAAGTTGAAGAAGAGACACGGTGATAACACGATGAGGCAGCAGCTTTATGGTCCTGCCCCACCCTCTCCTGGAAGGATTTAGTCCCTTGAACATGTGAAGTCACAAACATGACATCTGGACAAGAGTATGTGACATCTCAGTGGGCAACTCTCTGAGTGTAGTGTGTGTGTGTGTGTGTGTGTGAGAGAGAGAGAGAGACACCCAAGAACTTTGGCTCAGGCTGTGGGAGTCAGCTAGTGTCTACACTGCTGTAGGCACCAGACATTAATTTGATCCATTTTCCTTCCCCATCTTAGCTTGGTGGGCTGTGTGGCCCCACCCACATTATGGGAGGCAGGGGAACTCTTAGAATGGGAGGCTGTTCAAGAGTACGGAAGGGAAGCCCACACTTCCTTGGCAATGTGATTTTTTTATTTTGAACTGTGGGTGTCTAAAGTAGTTAATAAATTTGACTTCCATCTCACTCCCAGGATCGCACTGACTCTGAGTTCTTTAATCTCTTCAGGACCACCAATCCATCTGTGCCAGCTCCTTGCCAGTCTCCCTTACCTCCCAGGTGGACTCACCTCCCTCCTTGCCCAGACTCAGTCCCTTGCAAACTTTCTCACCCCTCCAGATCCTCTCTGCTTTGGTCACATTCACTGGGTAAAATGCGGACCAGGTAACATCCAACCTACCATCTACTCTGCTGCACCTGCACCTTGACCCTTACTGTGCCTGCAGTCACATGATCTTGCTGATCTTGCTTTAAATTTATGATCCCAAACCTCAAATGGGACCTCAGTACTGCCCGGCAATCCTGCCGTCTTTCCCTGGTCCACTCACTCTCCATGCTCCTAGATGGTGCTCACACCCTCTCTTCTCTTCTCTAGCCTCCAACGTGGTCTCCTCCACCCTCACTTGCAGCCAGTGACTGTGCTTCCCTATTTCACTGAGAAAACCAGAGGGAACTTCACCATTTGAGCTACTCACCCTCAGCCCATCGCCTTGGCCCTCTCCTGTTGCCGTGGATGAATGGTTTGTGCCTGTTTAGGGCCAGCTTCCTCATGCCCCAGAGCCCACGCCCCTCACTATTCGACGATATGGCCCCAGCGAATCTCCCTGCTCCATTTTTTCTTCAGTGGATCATTTCATCCACCTAAAGCACGCATTTATGGTGCAAATTCTCTCAATTCCACTTGTTCCTCCAGTGACTGGTCCAGTGTCCTGTCCCCTTTTATGATAATAGTCTTGAAGAGTCATCCATGTTTGTCCCCGATTTCTCTCCATTCTCTCTTAGGGGCTGCTCAAGTTGGGGCTTTACCCACCACTCTACTAAAACTGCTCTTGAAGAGGTCGACTTCGCTCCATGTTGTCAAATCCAGTTCTGTCCCCTCTTCTCATTTGACCTGGCAGTAGCCTTGGTCACAGCTGATCACCCATCCTCCTTAAACACTTTGGTCCCTTGGCCTCCAGGTCCTCACACTCACCCAGTTTCCTTCCGACCTTTGTGCCTACTCCTTTGCAGTCTCCTTTAATGAGTCCTCTCCATCCCTGACCTCTTAGTGTCAGAGTGGCCTAGGGCTCAGGCCCTGGATTGCTTCTCTATCTACATTCATTTTCTAGGTGATCTCATCCAGGCTCATGGCTTTAAATTCTGTGGTGGCCCACCTCCAAGATGGCCCCAAAGGTTACTGCAGAAATTACAGAGTGTGGCTTCCAAGGTTAGGTCCTAAAAGACATCATGGCTTCTGCCTGGCTCTCCCCTGAATCACTGCCAGATGCCATGGTGTGAGGCTACTCAAGCAACTCTGTGGACAGGCCACAGGTGAGAAACTAAGGTCTCCTGCCAGCCATGTGAGCGGGCCACCTTGGAAGTGGGTCCTTCAGCCCCAGTCAAGCCTTCTGGAGAGTACAGCCCCAGCTGACATCTTGACTGCAATCTCATGAGAGACCCTGAGTCAGACTACCCAACCAAACCATTTCAAATTCATAAAGTCTCAGAAACTTTGTGAGATAATAAATGTCCTTGGTTTTAAGATGCTAACATTTAGAGTTGTCTGTTAAACAGCAATAGAAAACCAATACAGCCCTGGCCGGTTTTGCTCAGTGGTTAGAGCATTGGCCTGTGGTCCACAGAGACCCGGGTTCGGTTCCCACTAAGGGCATGTACCTTGGCTGCAGTTTGTCCCTGGCCCTGGTTGGGTTGTGTGGATGGCAGCCACTCTCAGTGTGTTTCTTTCACGTCAATGTTTCTCTCTTTCTCTTCCTCTCTCTCCCTCCTGCTCTATCTGAATAAAAAAATGGAAAAATGTCCTCAGGTGAGGATAAAAAAAAAAAAAAAAAAAAGAAAACCAATACAAATGATCAAATGCAGACTGAAAACCTGCAAACTTATGCCTCCAATCTGAACCTATCCCCTGAATTCTAGTCCTGAATTTCCAGCTGCTGACTTCATAGCCATACTTAGTGATCCAGAGTCAGCTCACACTGAACACGCCCAAAGTTTAGCTCCTGATCTTCCTCCTCAGAAATCCTCCTCCCACAGGCTCCACTTTAGTTAATGGTAGCCCCATCCATCTAGCCACTGAGGCCAAAAATCTTGGAGTTACATATTACTCCTCTTTCTCTCATACTCTACCTCGAGCCTGTCGGTAAGGTAAATCCTTTTCGGTGAGCCTTCAAAAGAAATCTGAAATCCATCCTGCCCCCAAACTCCCTCATCTCTCCTTTGGAGGAGAGCACCTAGGAGGCACTCACCAAATCTTTGTAGATGGATGAAAAGTCGACCGGAAGCAGCACAGCTCCTCAACGCTGGGCTCCAGCTGTCTGGGATTTAAGGAATGTCCAGGCAACCACAAGGATACAAAGGAACCCCTGGGAAACAGACCCTGTCTCAATAAGCTGCAACAAGATTGCTGA